GTTGTAAAACATGATTTTCAAAATGTCAACATCCAAAATTCTTCTATAGAAGTTATCTTAGCAAAATTTCAATAACATAAAAAGTAAACAAATAAGAATTTGTGCCTTTCAGAAGCAAAATTACAGTATATTTATATTAATATAGCTCGCTCCTTGTAATTTCAACTTCAACAAATATATCACAAGTAAAATCGAACAGACACTGAAAATATTATATAACTATTAATACTTGTATTTTGAGTCAACGAAAATATGTTTATAAATATCATTTATGTCGATTGAATTAAATATATTATCCTCGAACCTATAATTAGCTTCACGTTTCAAAGGAGTGTTAGACGAATCACAAAAGAAGAAGCCAAACGTAAGAGCAACACAATGATCTTCATAAGGGCCCCTAACGTATACGTATACTATACTTAGAAATGTCAAAGACAAATTACTGCTCGTCTGGATTAGAAGTGTTTACTCTAGTTAAAGGTAAATTCGAAGAAAAATTGATTATTTTACATCATTATTATTGTATAAACAAATAAACATAACAATAAAATATTTTAAAAAGTACTGAATAAATGATAAGGATATTTAAGAAATAAACGGTTCTGCATCTATTTGAAAGGAAAAAAAATCAATTTGTCCACTTACAAAAGACTAATTTTTATGAAAATTAATGGTATGAGAAATACGAGAAATTTATCATTACGAGAAAATTTATGGTAATTACACAAGCAATGTTTAGTGAGAAATGAAACAAATAAATAATTTCCTAGAAAATCAACAGGTGACCGACAGAATTCCGTGCTATCCGGAAACAATGTCGTGTGTTCTGATACGTGTATATTACTTATTTAGGAAAAAAAAATATTTAATTATGTATTTATGTTTTGCTTCTTAAAATAAGTTTTAACTTATTTTTGTTTTATATTAATTTGTTAAATATTAATATCGACAAAACACAAGATTCTCCTCCACCGACTGTAAATAACCTAGTAATTAATTGTTTTATATTAATTAATGATATTTCGTTTTCTAGTGTAATTTGTTGTTTAATTATTTAGTAATTACACCAAACGATTTGTGATTTATATTAATTAATGTAGTATTTATATTCGGATATTAAAATTGCTGTTTCATCTGTTTATATAGAAACACATTCGCAGAAATGAATTTTAAGAGATAAAAACTTCTCTCCTATTGAAGTATTTATAAAATTTCTAACGATTGTCTATAAAATTGCAGACTTTAGAGTAATTAAATCTTTATATCAGTTTTATTACAATAAAATCTGTGTTAACCGGATTCGCACGATACCGAATATTTTTCCGTTTTCTACAGTCTTACCGTGCTTTATACAATTTATTCAGTAGTCAAGCATCAGCTGATCGTCCATTTTTATCCTGTAGTAGACGCGAGTCTGTTGAATTCAATACATCTGTTCCACATTAGATAGCGCTAACTGTCGCAGGTCTTGTTCCCACTTTGTTTATTTGATTCCCACCTGTTACAGCGAATCCCATGTTAATTTATATTTTAAAGCTTGTTATATTTTGTCTGGCCGATAATTTTATTTATAAATTACATAAATACAAGCAAAAAATTAAAAAAAAATGTAACTTTCTACGAAACTATTTTTAAATTACACATAACATCGAGAAGTATTGTTAACGGTAATTTCCATTTTTGTATCAACGAAACTGGAAGAAGAAAATTCTTTCTTTCTTTCTTTTTCAATTGTTTATTTCGAGATATTTTACATAATAAAATTTATTATATTCATTGGCGTTTTAAATATAACTTACTCACGCCTGCTATAAATAGAATGCGTATTAATTGATATTATAAGCGCGCGTATATGACGTAAGTATTCAATTTTTATCAATGGCGTCGAAGACAGACGACCTCGATCGATCGAATATATCAGTTTTAAATAGCGAGATTCGGTTTGTTTACGAGTTGTTAATTAGCCAGATTAAACAGTGCATCGACTTGACGAAATAGCTTCTAATAATAAATGTCAAGAATGAGTTTTCATTCGAGATAATGGCATTTCAACAGAAAGAATGGTTAACTGTTCAATTATGAATTTTTAAATTTATTTTTTAAAAAGGGGGATTGATGCTGTTAAATTTTGGTGATTAAAGGCCGAGGGGTGGGTGGGGAAATAGGGGGTCACGTGCCATATTTTGAATGGGGTTGGACTTAATGAAGATTTTACTCGTTATTAGCATATTATGAAACTCGTGTCTGCCCTGATAATTAAACTTTTTGTTATTTTATAATAATTAATAATATAAAATTTTATTTAAAAACTTTTTAACAGATATCGCCACACAACTTTAACTTTTTTTGGTCGGAAAAGTTACGCAACTCACTGCTGGATTTATTAATATAATTTATAGTAAGTAGTTTTAGGGATATCAAAATATTTTAGTCACTGCAGAAACAGACACATTCTGTTGAAAAGTGAGGTCTCTTTTAAGCAAAAACGAAAAATTATCATTAAAAAATTGAAAAAAGGGTTAGCCTGAATTCTTATTTCTCATTTTTATGGTTCCTGCTTGTGATACGTGTTTACAAAACTGTTAACGACTTTCAGGTAGGATTGTAAATTTCTAAAAACACGAGAAAGAATTCTCTATTTGTATTTATTTTGAATAAAAATTAGAAATCAAGTAGTAAACATCCAAAAGAAAATTCTGCGCAAATTTGCAAATAGTTTGATTAAGCATTTCTTTTTAAATTTAATTATTTTATCTCACGTTGTGTCGTCTTATATCTTGCGTCAACATAGTATAAGTTAGTGTTATAAATGTCATACTGAGACAATAACTTAAAACAAATATATGAGTGGTATGCCATATATAGAAATATTCCTAAGCAAGGACTTCTCTATCAATTGGAAAAAGTCAACATTTCCATTGTGTGCACATTGCAAGTGTAATGTATCTTCTTCCTATTATTATCAACTCGAAACCCAGACAATTTAAACATTAAATATTTTAAATTGGATTAAGTTCTACGAGAACCTTCGAGCGTTAACGTTATCTCAATTTGATCCACTATAGTGAACTCTACTGTTATGGATGAGAACGAGAAACTCCATTAATTTTAGATCATTAAAAATTTATACTTATCCAATATTCTAAAATTATTCATTATGCTTTGAAACTGCTTATCAACGGGCTCTGATCGAGTTCTTTGTGCTTTCGAGTCTAACGATACTCCTGATCTTGAGAGAATTCTATGAATATCCTACATTTTTCTTCTCTGACCGTATTTCCTACGGACAATAACTGAAAATATAAATTTTTCCCTAAATATCTTTCATCGTGTTAAATCTTTATCCGTTTCATCTTTGAAAACAATAGGGCCATTGCACTTGGAAATATGTCTTCACCTATTAATTTTCCTGTTTTTTATACGCACGGGAGTTCGATCCTCCAGTTCTTTTTATTCAGTATTATGGACTTCTATGAAAGCACAGTTTTTCATTCAGGAACAAAGACTTTTTTTCCTTTTGATTCTTCGTTCCTTTCCACGTCTTTACACATTGATCTATTGATAGACGTGACTAAACACTTGGCATTTCTTTGGGCCACACTTTATTTTTTATTTTTAAAAAAATTGTTTTTCCTTAGGGAAAGATGAAGCTCCAGCATTCGATTGCTGGAGCTTTACCTTTCCCTCTGTTATATATAACAAAAAGAAGAAAAGTAAAAATACTTCATTCATTAAAGCACACCTTCATATCGAAACGATACATCCTGGTTGGCTTAGAGTAATTTGAAATGGCTACGATTCATTAGCATATTTTTTTCATCGATCGCGTTTTTAGAGCTTAAATTATACGTCTTTTTTAAGTTGTAAAATGTAATTATTCGGAATGTAATTACTGTTTCTCATATCTTCCTAAACTTCCGGATCTGTATCACTTTCGGTGTCGTCAACCTACTCGAAGGAGAAATAATCATTTTAATTTGGGAATTTCATCACATCGAAGCTTGTGGAGTGGCTTGGGTCATTCTTTATATAGTATCTTGTTAATAAGAACCACTTTTATCATGTTTTGGTGCCTCCATTTTGTCTTTTTCCACCATTTTGAGAAATCTAATTTGTATATTCCCGACAAATGTCAACTTTTTTTTTAGATTATTTTTTTCTTACTAATTTAAAAAAATTTTCTATTCCAAAATAGATCTTCAATAATGTTAATGGTAATTCATCAAAAATCATTTATTTTATACATGATTAGGCAAGCCGGCTGGAGAGTTTGAATCGAAGTATTATTCAACTTATTGATAAAGCATATTTATTTTTTAAAGTTTAATTATAGAAAATAAATTTATTTGTTTATAGCTAGAGTAGATATAGATATATATACTGTGATTGATTATACACAGCTCAGAGTTCGATATTTTAAAAATAATATTAGTTTTAAGAATTATCTTACCGTAGAATTGATTTTTTGAAAAGTTGTTATTAAAAGATTTATCAAAACTCAATTATAAAATATATGAATTTAAAATAATAGAACTTATTAAAATTATCAATTATGTTTTCATAGGGGGAAACAGCATTTCCGTTCTGTTCACTTAGAGAAATTACTTTTTGTTTAGCAGTGATTCCGCTATTTGTCCTTGGCATATTATTTTTGTATTAGCTTCTTCACTAAATCTATTTTTTTCCCCTCTCTTATCAAGTTGTTAATGACTATATTTTCTAAGATATGTTTTTTTTTTTTAATTTCTAAAGTCATTTCATATATCTCCTCAAAATTGTTTCCGTTCTCATTTTACTATGAAATGAGAACGGAAATGCATAATGAAATACAGCTATTTCAGATATATTCGAGTATTCTTTGTATATCTGTAGTGCTTAATTTGTTATTTATATAAATTTTAAGTAGCCTAAATTTAAAAAAAAATTTATATTAAAAATATATCCTGTATGTATAATAATTATCGAGAAGTAAATTTTATATAAATAATTTTAATTTACAGGTGAATTGAAGTTTTTTTTTGGATGATATTTCGTACGAAGAATCGTCATTTACATAATAAAAGTCAAGTCTGTGGAAATTAAAATCATACATATTTATATTAAACATAATAAATTAAGACAATTTACAGTTTCTAAACAATAATTGCAAAGCAGGTATGTAAATTTGAGCATTTTTAAATCGCTAAATAGAGTAAATCCACTTTCTTAAAATTAAAATTTTAAATCTCAATGAATTATAACTAAACAGTTTCATTTTAATTTAAAATTTTTACAAAAAAAGGTTACTTTTTTATGCATTTTATTCATGCGAATATGAATAATGCGCATAAGAAAGTGACTGCAATTCATTTTAACGACGAGTCTTCCATTAAACTTCGGCAGATCCGTAATTCTTAATTAAATGCATTGCAATTTATACGATTTAATTTGTAAAAATAGGCTAAACTAAGTAGATAAAATCTGTTTAATTCTTTAAATCCTAAACATAAAAGGTAATTTTTATAAGTATCAAACATTGGCTGCTTAAATAATTAACAGGTTTAGTAGTATTTTTTTTAAAATTTAATTATTAGACAAATGATTTATTTATGATCGATACTAATTAGTCTAACATCATCAAGTGATTTCAGGATATTTCACTTTATTCAATTAATTCCCTTTAATTCATTATTACAGCTCAAGCTCCGATTAATCAAAAATATTTTATTAGAGAGAGGCAGAGGTCATTCACCTCATTTACTACGAATTTAATGGATTATAAAACGCTATAAATGCTCCTAAAATTTTTATTTGATCAACTTAAAGGATTAAACAGATTTTATCTACTTACTTTCGGTCTATTTTTAGCAGTTAATTGAATTCATTCTAATTTACATGACTGGAGATTAGAATTTGTTTATCTTTCTATAAATTAATTTAACCGAAGTTCAAAAATTTTAAACAGATCCTTGGTTACGGAAATAAGCGTTATTTTAAAATCAGATTAACTGTAACAATCTACTAATGAATACAAAGCCATTTCACTTTCGAAAAAAAACACTATTTTTTTCTTATTTGCATATTTCACATCATCTGATGCTTAAAAGTTCAGTGAACGAATTTATGTACGTAATTATCCTTTTCAAATGAATTGAAAAGCGTATAGATATGTTGTTTGTAGGCAAAAATTATAATAATACTAAAAGTTAAACTAACATTTTACAAAATTAATTCATGTTCCAAATACTAAAATTATTTTTCTAATACTTATAAAAGTATAAAGGCATAACGAAATTTATTTATTAAAATCAATTAATAATTCACTTTTACACATTTGACATCCCAAACGTTAATTTTACATTATAAGATATATTCTTTGTGATTTCCTACGATTCTTTCCTCCTAAAATTGCATGAGACCCTAGCAACAACATGACCTCCACACTTGTTTGTTACTGTATATCCTCTTTTACTTTACAAGAAAACTTTTTATGCTTTATAATCTTTGTTGTTGTTAATTTTATCTATAAAATTGATAAAAAAAAAGAAGGGGGGAAATGCTTGTAATACTCCACAGATAATAATTATTCAATATTTATTTATTTATGAGCTAAACTTTTGAGCTATTCAGTCAAAATTAACTTTATAAAATTAAAGCATTTTTTGTTAATAGAACTGTATTGGCATTGAAAAGTTGTCTCCAGCCTGTTTTATAAGAATATTTCTATTGTGATATGGTTAAAAAAATATGCATAAATTTATATTATCGTTTTCTTCTTATTGTATTTAATCTAAATTTCCTGTATTAAAAATCGAAGTATTATAAGATTAAGATCAAATTTGCATGCAAATGTTTACCAAGTTGCACAATTTGTTTGACAAAAAAACAAACAAACAAACAATAGAAGGGACACATCGAAAATTGTTCGATTTTTAAGCATAAATTTTAAAAAGAAATGAAATTTTTATCGTCAACCTTAATGCATATATTAAATTCTATTAATATAAAAACCAGTTTTACATAATTAAAGCCGTGGTAGGATATGCATTAACATTCTTAAAACCTTTTAATATTACTCTTCAGTGTTTATCGATAACGCTTCGGAAGGTATATTATTTACATATTTAATTATATAAATATACAATAAACGTTTCGAATATTTTAAAAATATTAGAAAGAGTCAAGGTTAATCATCATTTTTCCACGTTAGAAACACTTCCTGTTGTCATAATCACGTGCTCAGTTCGTCGTCCTATTGGCTGTCGAGGGTAGCCGAATGTGATGCAATTCGTCCTTGTGTATGTTTTATGAACAGGGAGAAGTGTAGCGAATCGGCCAGAACAGCTGATCGCTAACTACACCACACTCCACAGGTGAGTCTCTTATAAATCTTATTATTTGACTAATTGTAATTTAGTTAAAACAGTGTGTCTGCACTAGTGTATTTTATTTAAAAGGAAATTCACAATCGTACGACGCGGATGTTTTTCCTTTCCGTAGAACGAATGTTTAAAAATATATTAAAACTTTTCTTTGTTTCCTTCCCGAATACTGCCATATATACACTACAAGGGGGCAATTTATGAATGAAAGGTACATTTAAAATGCAGGATTGTTTGTTTACACGAATTTTTCCTACATTCTTTTGTTTTGTATTTGGAAAAGCTTCGATTCGACAAGAAACATTACACTTGGCGATAAGCTATGAAGAAGCTCGTTTGACCTCTAGGGTTATCTACTGGATTTATAGCCTTACCGAGTTTTGTATAGAGAAAAAGTGTTAGGGATACACAAAATAGAATAGGATGTTCAAAAAAAATCCATTTTTTTTCTATAAAATCACGCGTGTTTTTTCATTTTGCTCAATCGCCTTACTCGTTTACGTATATACAACTTAAGGCGTGACATTTAAAATAATTCATAGGTCAGACATGCTGACAAGCTTCTATTTAATTGTACCGCATTTGCTTTGATTTCGAAAATTCGTTAAAAATTTTGAAATGCGAAAGATTCGTTGCGCCATCTGTTGATTAAAAACCGCATTATTTGTTTTTTTATTGCTTATTTTGATAAGCCTATCTTACAAATTCTGCTATCTTACAAGCATTCCGGTTTATACAAAACGGATGGATGGTTAATTTATTTTATGGCAGATTCTATAAAATAATCTAAACGATGCAAAATATTTTCAACACGATAATGTGCAATAGATCTAAATAAAATTGTGCTTATACAATATTCATTTTGGACAAAATAATTTAACATATAGCGTAACAGATTTTGAGTTTATTAAGTGGATTTAGTTAAAGATAAAGGCCCTGCTTAAATCATCAGAATTCTAAATACAGTAGAGCCTCGAAAACTCGGCCTAATGTGGACCGAAGGGTGGCCGAGTTTGTGAAAATGCCGGGTTATCGGGAATGGGGTTAAAAAAAAATAAGTATGAGTGTTTCCTCAGAAAATACTGTACTGTACTTGCATGTATTCTTTACTTGAGAATACAACAGAGAATAAACTGCCCAAATACCCTTAAACAAAGGAAAAGTACAGTACGTCCTTTATGAAGGCATAAAGCCTTTACTACATGAAAATGAAAATTAATGAATACACTGTGTACAGTAATTTACCTGATAAGACAGACCTCAGAAAAATACTTTATGAGGCATAAAGCTGTCTTTATCATGAAAATTAATTAACTGAGGATTTTTTTGCCCTGCCAGGGTGTGGCCGAGCTATCCGGAGTGCTGGGTTATCGAGTGCCGAGTTTTCGAGGCTCTACTGTAATACAAATGCTAAGGTAATGACTGAAATATTGCGAAAAATTAACCTAAAAAAACAGAATATATAAAAAATACACTTTGATAAAGTACTTTTAAATCGAACTTTTATGTTATTTAATTACTTCGAAAGTATGAAAACAAAAAAATTGTTTCACACATCAAAAAAAAATCTCTTCTATTTGGACATTTCAGTTGAGTCTAGTTTTTCTGTTATGCTTTTAACCCCGTTTTATAACAATTGGACGAAGAATTTTCAATACTTACATACTTACTTTCGAAGTTTGGAGTGGCATTTATCAATATTTGATGGGAAAATGCCATTTATCCTCTTTCCAAAAGGTATAAACTTTACGAAGATTTCGTAAAAGACCGTTAACACGAAAAATACGAATTGGAACGTCTGAAAATAATTTAATTTGACAATCCTGTTGATACGTAATAAAACATTTTGAAAGATAAATGACATTGCATTTAGGATAATAACTTCATTTTATAACACCAGTTAAAGTATTCTGTAGCGTTTTTATTTTTATGGATAATTGTGAACTCTTCATTAACTGAAAGCATCGCAGAGCAATGCTTCGGTGCTCTTTGGCCTTAAGAAAAGTTGTAAAAGAATGAAAACTGGATAAGTGAAAATTAGGATTTAATTTAAAAAAGGGATTGTATAATTTGTAAAATTATTTAAAAGGTGTTTCTTTTCTCCAGGCTGTAATGTGAAGCGATTAGAGATTTCTGTATGGGACCAGCAATGAAGTATCTGGAAATGGATAACAGCACTGCTTGGCAGGAACTGTTGCCCAACAATAATTATATGGGACGAGAAAACGAAGGGGACACATCCCCGACCATTACGTCTACGGAAAGTGGGACCATAACCAAAAACTCTACCTTTAACCATAATTTATCACTAAGTGGTTACTCGAAATGCGCGGAAGACAATTTAACCCCAATTTTTAACAAATATCGACATTCCAGAATCATTCCGGGCCGATTAAGGAAGAGGGTGGTATTAAAAAATGGTGTCGTTAATTTATCAAAAGAAAGAGTATCGAAGAGGGGGCAAAGATATCTTCAGGACATATTTACGACTATGGTGGATATCAAATGGAGATGGAATCTGTTAGTGTTTGCGCTCGGATTTATTCTCAGTTGGCTGGGATTTGCTGTGATCTGGTGGCTTATAGCCATGGCCCACGGGGATTTCGATCACATTAACGAAGAATCGTGGACCCCTTGTGTAATGAATCTGCGCAGTTTCACTTCGGCATTCCTATTTTCTATCGAGAGTCAACACACCATAGGATACGGTTTTCGATACACTACGGAAGAATGTCCGGAAGGTATTTTTATCATGTGCATGCAGTCGGTAACGGGGGTCATGATTCAATGTTTGATGGCCGGTATTGTTTTCGCCAAACTCTCCAGGCCCAAGAAAAGATCGCAGACTTTAATGTTCAGTAGAAACGCAACCGTCTGTCTCAGAGACGGTAAGTTGTGTTTGATGTTTCGTGTAGGTGACATGAGGAAGTCTCATATTATCAGTGCTCAAATCAGCGCTCAATTAATTCGCCGAAAATTGACATTAGAAGGAGAAGTTCTCCCTTATTATCACACGCCATTGGACGTGCGATTCGACGACGGAGGTGATAGCGTTTTCCTCATTTGGCCCGCCACTATAGTTCACGTCATAGACGATACTAGTCCATTCTACGAAATGAGTGCCGAAGATATATTAAAGGACAGTTACGAATTAGTGGTGATACTCGAAGGTACCATCGAATCGACGGGCCAATCCATTCAAGCCAGATCCTCCTACATTCCGAACGAAATACTTTGGGGACATAGATTCGAACAGGTAGTCCGTTTCAGAAGGGAGACGGGAGAATATTTAGTAGATTATAGCAAGTTTAACACTACCTACGAAGTAGAAACTCCATTATGTAGTGCTAAAGACTATTATTCGTACACGAGATTGCTAACTGTGTCTTCCAGAGCCACCAGTTTTGTGGAACATCCTCAAGAAAGGATCAGTCTCAGCTCCTTAAGAAGAAGTGTCTCTGCGGTAGAGAAACATTCCTCAAATCCTCACTTCCAACAAATAGAAGAATCTCTGAATAGGAAACAATAAAGAAGAATATAAATTAAGTCATTTCTTTAAAATTGCGAGCATTTCAATAAGAAATTAAGGAACATTTCACACGCAAACTACTTACGCGAATATAAATAATTTGCGACTACTGTTTTATAGAGGAAGAGATAAGTACAATCTGTGAAAAATTATCCACAATTAGCTATCTGATAAACGTCTAATTGGACTTTAAGGTTCACAATAAACATGATACACTAGAGATTTCCGATTATAGAATGTTACCCTTTCTAATGATCCTTTAAAAAAATGTCATTAAATGCTGTAATTGAAGAAGGGCATCGTTTTTTATATTCACTCGAAATAATATTCTACGAATTAGTGAATCAAAAGATTTAATTATATTGACTGTGTGCTTGTTATATGTGATGATAATATATATTTTTTTTAATTTTCAAGAATATTTTACAATTTGACTATTTATAAATATTTATAACGCTATCAAATTTGTTAATTATAATTAAGAAAAATTGTCAAAAATCTTCATAAAAATGTTTTAAGAATTGATTTTATAGCAGCTGAATGGAATGTTGTATAGAAAAATCTGTATTTTAAATGTTATAACATATCAAGATACATATACATGTGCATGTTTTTAGGAATAATTCAGAAACAATATTGATATGTTGCTTTAATTAATTTTTTAAAGAAGAAATTTTTACTTTTAAATGGATTTCTTTTTGTAAATATACTCTTATATCACGCCTAATTGCTCAATTAGGAATATCTGGATGGAACCTGGAATTTTGGGTTTAATTTATACCGATTTATTCAAATTTTAGTTGTTTTTTAACCCAAGAAAAGGTCATTAAAATTCAAAATTTAGGCAGTAGATCAAAGAAAAATGGATTTAGTTCATGTTTCATGTATAAAAAATATTTTTTTCTCTATCCAAAGTCAACTGACAGATCTGTCGCTAAACAAATATATTCAGTAGCAGAATGTAGTTTGGTTTTATATTTAAAATTTTTGAATGGCAGGTTTCATCACTCGAAGAGTTTCAATTAAACATTGCTAATATCTTAATAAAAACAACGACATATTTTTTTGCTATTAAAATCATTCCAGTTTATATTTATCCAAAGATTTTCATTCAATGTACCTTTATAAATATTGTATATAATGTGTAAGAATCGATGATATACACGATATATTTTATAATAAAATTATTTTATATCAGTCCTGTTTATTTTTTACTAAACTACAACACACATTTTTCAATTAAAAATTGTACAAATTACACCAACTATCTTGAACGAGGATTTCGAAATTATGCATCTAAACTTGGATAAATCAGAACTTTTTTTTTCAACCAGAGGATCGCGATCGCTCCGAATTTACAGGATGTTTCTATTAAAAGTGGGGTTATTAAACGTTAAAAAATCTAATTATGTATTAGAGATGAAAATTCACACTCGAAATTAATTACAATTTCATTTAAAATATTTACAATGCACCCTCATGTTGGGGTTTTCACCTTACGCTATTAAATTTTGTAATTAATGAATTTCAACGAGAGAATTATACTCAAAGTGAAATTCACGAAAGATAAAATGAGTAGAAGAGAAAGAAAACACATTTTATTCGAGAGATAGGCCTAAATAACATTCTGAAACAATTTTTTTTAATGAAACTAAACCAGTTATTATGTTTTCTCATGTTAATTGGAATTAAGCCAAAACCAATTTTATTGTTTTTAAAATATTCGTGCAACGATATCACCCGTTAGCACGTTAACTAGCTGTAGAATAGCTCAGTTATTATTCCATATATTTAAAAATATTCAAGATTTTCGACGAATTTCATACCGGTAAGTATCAGCACAGAAGATACTTTTGTTGTAGGCAAAAAAATATATTAAAGATCATCAATTCTGAGCAGAAAAATTTTACAGAAAGGCAAAATATAATAAATAAATAAAAAAAAAGGGTACAGTTAATTAAATGGATGTTGAAGAATGTCACATCATCTGTTTACAGTCTGTTATGCACTGTTTTATAATATGCACGTATTTCTAATTAAACTTTTCATCCGAATCATCATTATTCATCAAGAAAATGCTGCACTAAATTGTTATTACAGAAGAGTTATCTACAATAAAAACGAATAATAGGAAAATTTATGACAAGACTAGAGAAAAAGGATGCTATTATTAATGGATCAAAAATTCAGCTTCTGTTTTCGGAGAAAGAATCAAGTATAAAGTATGAGTAAAATACTGTAGAAAAACTCATATAAATGCTTCATAATCTGAATGAAATCATAAATTTAAATAATAATTTCAACGTTTTTGGTAAATTTTATGTTATAAAAATTAATACTGAAAGGTACAGTACAAGTAACTTTCCATAAATTTAATATTCTTATCGGTAGATTTGCATAATTAATGACGAAACAAAGAGAGAGAAAATAATTGGCAGATTTTTTTCGTCAGCACTCAATTTTTAAAAAATCCTTCTGCAATTATTAGATTTTAAGTGGAATGATCATTGATAGGGGGAGAGAGATTTTAAGCATAATTGCTTAGGAGAAAACGAAAAATAAGTTTCAGGCTAAGAAGAAATTATCGACAGATAAAGGTTAATTGTTTTATTTAAATTAAAATTCCGGATTTTATGAAAATACTGTATCAAAAACCCCATTCTAGTTAATTGGTTTGATTTAACTTGTTAATCCCTAGACCAGGCATGGCCAACATATGGCCCGCGGGCCAGATCCGGCCCATCTAATGAATTTATGTGGCCCGCGATCAATCTTTCAATAATAGCTACTGAAGTCTCGAATAGCTCGATGAAAAATTCTGACGCCTACAAAAAAATAAAAAAAAAGGTCAATAGCTCACTGTGCGTTTAGAGTTAATCCTCCATTACAAATCTCGTAAGTACAGCGTAGAGTGTTGATAAAGCATGATAATGTGAAAAATGTATCTATAATCTCTATCTACAATTTAGTCTCTACGAGGATGACACCACAAAGGGATCTCGCACCACCTCAAAATCTTCTTAGGGCAGTCTCTGGTTCGGCCCGTGGAAAAAGTTCTTTCCAATTCGGCCCGGGGGCAAAAACTGTTGGCCACCCCTGTTCTAGACTAAAGAAAGTGAACTCGAGTTAACCAGGGGCCATATTCTGGTCATTGTCTCTGGTCTCTCACAAGCCGGTTACTGATTGACTAATCCAAATGATTAGCCAATCAGCGACCGGCTTACGAGAGACCAGAGACAGTGATCAGAATACGGCCCCAGGTTCCACTGCATATTCATATTTACCTAAAATTACCTAAATATTTTAAGAAATATTCTTAAACGTTTTTTTATAATTCAAATTTTGCACTTAATTCGTATTCGCACATTTAATTTCCGAATGATTAATCGTTCGATAAATAAACGTGTTTAAACATGCTCGAAATTAGCAAAGAAATCATTTAACAATACTGATGACACACGCCGATTCGTATGAAACGGAGTATACCATTGGTTTACTTAGTTGCTTCCATCTACAAGCGCTCGTGATTTTTTTCATACTGTATGTATGGTGTTCCGGTATCCTATTTCGGAAGTGTTTCAGGATCTCGCTTAAAGCATTCATATTTTATTTTTGGTATCGGCTAATTAGGGAAACGAAATAACTAATCTAGAGAATGAAGTCGAATGGGCTAAAATTAAAACCCCACTTACTTTATCTAGAAGTATATGACATCAAAACATTTCTAGATAAAGAAAACGTTCCATTTTCTTATTTATCTTCTAGAGTATAAACCATTTTCTGGCGAGAAAATCTGTAGATTAAGGTGCATAAAAGTTATCTGCCCTTAACATTTTCGATAAGCTTATTTGCTGTTTTAGGTGTATAAAAACTTTTAGCGGATCACGTGATCGCATAGCCCGTTAAGCGATGTAATTTTTTGAGGCTATCGAGAAAAGATGGCTGACCTATCAGCATTATTGTCACGCGAAGAAAACTCGTCCGTCTATTGGCCTGACGAAATAGTTCTAAAGTATTCGTATTTTGTTTATATCAAGTTACTTTAAAAGAATATTAATAATACAGGATGTGCACAAATTATTGGACGATTTCGTATGATTTTTATTACTATTCAACAGAAATACGTGATATTACCACCATTTGAAAGAGGAATATTTGCAGTTTTTAATGCCGTAACTCACGGATGAGGAGGCAAATCAGGACCTCCACAACGGGATTACCTAAGTGGATACCTGTGATAGATTGGTCGTGCAGCAGCAGCCGAAGACTTCTGCTCATGACCTCACGGTGTGGGGTTTCGCCAAGGATAATGTATGTTTACGTTCCTCCACTTCCAACGACACTGACGGGAACACCATCATCAGGAACGTCACACAAACCACACTAGATTGACCAAAATGGGAGTACCTCCTGGACGTCTGCCGTGCCGCTTATCGAATGAATTTAAGGTTAGGTACGATTGGTTTTATTCGATATGCCGAGCAGTCTTTTTATGGGAAACTGGTCCTTATTTCGGTGTTACTAATGCAAACCCCCCATGCGATTGGCACGTTGGCCAGGTGCGAACCCACGACCAGTGGCAGAAATCTGGTAACTCTAAACAACCCCGACGAATGTTATTTAGCGGGAAAAATTCCCCTCGCTTCAATCATGCGTTTAAACACGTCTTTCGATTTTTAAAAAACGAAGCAATTCATACATTTAAATAAATTTTAAAAGAAAAATTTCCTTTATAATAATAAAAGAATTTAACGAATGAGGCAAAAACAAGTATTTTCACACATTCTCAAATCTAAAATGTTAAATATCTATCAGCCATATATGTAATAGTCTACACGTTAGTATCTCACTGCGACCAAATTCAACGAATTAAAGGAATTTGGACAATTCAAACTAAATAAACCAGCAACGAGTTGATCAACTTTCCCGGCAACATTTAAAATTTTGGTGGCGCCATCTGTTATCATATTTTATTTAAAAACTTTATATTTTTAACTATTATAAAATGGCAAAACGCTTAATTCTGAAGGTAAGGATGGGTTTTATAAAAAAAAAAATGTAAATGCTAATAACGAGTAAAATTGTGATTAAGTCCGATCTTACTGAAGATACATGCGACCCCCTTTATCTCCCACTCTCTCGACCTTTAATTAATCACCAAAATTTAATACCATCGACCCCCTAATAAACGAACCTCCCTGCAAAATTTCAGAAATTTTCGACAAAAAGCACGAGAATTATTAAGATTCAAACAGGGTGAACAAAATCGTGTCCCCCACAAACTAACATCCATACATACAGAAATTACCCCTGAATTTTTTTTTTTTTGCATTTCTCGACGTTTCAAGGTGTCTCGAGTCCAAAAATGTAAAAATCTGTGGAGGAAGTCATTTTTTGCCGGATCGTCATACTTTCCTTCTATTATAACAGGCAGGAAAGTAAAAATTAGGACGTCGGAGGCGGTTAATAGCTGAATTATAGGAATAAATACCAAACGGATCTCTTCTAACTATACTAGGACACGGCCTTCATTTATATATCTAATTGGTAAATTAAAAATGAAGATTCGACGATATTTAAAATCAGGACGGATACCTTTTCCCATTTCCTTTTCTACTCGGAATTTCCCACCCCCCTTGGTTTCCGATTTTGTCATTCTAACGGAATTTCCAAGTATTGCATTCTTTCCTTTCTTTTCCACGTTAATTTCATTTTCCGGTCCTATTTTTGTTAGAAATAATAGTAAAAAATGAAAATGACTACACCTAATGCAAACTTTACCTCTATCGCACATCTTTACAATTTCAAATCCATGAAGATCTAGGACGAGGAATCGTCATCCTGTTTAATAATATTTCTAATCTAACAATTATTAATAATCCGTATTTAGGGTAGGACTATTAATACACAAATACCCTAGTTGTTAAAGGAAAGCAACAATTTATCCTGTATGTGTTACGTGCAAGAATTTATCTTTTATGGAATAAAAACATTTAATAAAAGACAAATTCTTTCACAATAACTTGTTGATAAAGTTATATATAACTGGAGAAATAATAAGTGTCTTATATCACCACTCTGTGTGCTGGCTTCACATGCTGAAATCATCAAATTACACGTTCAACCGCGTGTATCTTAAGTTTTGAGACACGGAATCATCCACTAATGTTGCAGCGCCATTAACCGTTCAAATTTTGCAACTAACTTTTTCATTTCGAATAAGATTCCATCGCCGCAGAATTCTCTACACGAAATATTACATTATTCTACTGATTAGTTCCCGAATGTATTTTTTGAAATGCGAACCTATACAACGGCATAACTTTACAGAGGGATGCACAGTCTGGTATGTGCATATATACAACTAATATTTAATTATACCAAATAAGCTTGATATATTTGCAAAAAATATATATCAAAATTTATTTACTTTCCAAATTGTGACAAAACAAACATGTTTCTAGAAATAATTAAAGACAATCTTAAAAAGAATGCTTCCTATGGTTCCCATTTATTAACAAAAATTAATATATTTTGATAGAAATAGTTGCGAATATCTAAACATATTTTGTTACATCAGTTTAAGTTGAGATCAATCATTAGAAATTTTGAGTTAAAGAAAATTATACAAGGTATACATGTATCACAAGGAAAGATAAATACTGTATTTGGGAGGTGAATGTATGAGAGTAATATGTAAAAAAAGCCTATATCAGCATATGGTGATTTATTAATATTAATAAAGATACAGCAGTATGAATGTTTTTCAATTTGACATCAAACATAGCAGTCATGGTTGCACGTACTGTTCAACTTGATGATCCCTGACAAGATGGAGTGGTGGCATCAAAAAGATTCTCAAAGTGATCACCCTCAGGCATTGAAATATTTCTGAGTATGTCATAGTAAATCTGTGTACTTTTTCAAAGTGCATTCCTATCCTATTTGATAACTATAGTTATCAAACAGGATAGGAATGCTAGAGACAAGTCAATCACAAGAATCTACCTTCTCCCTTTGTACTGAGTCAACAGAGCAGGACCCACAAAAAGGACCACATTATGTCTACTGACATTTGTGCATCTTTCTCAGCAACCGTTTATTTCGGAACATGGGACTCGCAAACTTTTTTTACTCCTCTTGTCAGAATTGCCTTCCAATGTTTACCTTTCCTCCTGATACACCTTGTTTATACCGACGGTGTAAAGATGCCAAGCTCTCTATGTAATTAGTGAAATATTAAATTTTACTAAACTATGAAATATAAAATATTCTCACCAGTTATAACTAATTTCTTATTATTCTAAATTACTTGATAATTGGAAATTTTCATTTATTCATCAAAATATAACCAGGCTAAAACCTCAGGTTTATGACATTTGATTAACTTTGCCTTTTTTAACCCTTCCTCAGTCACTGCAAGTAATGATGGATTTTTTTTAAAGCTTTTATTTTAAACAAATTTGTAATTTTAATTCAACAATTCTTTTGAATCCAAAATCTTTTAAATTAAGACCATAAAGTACTCCAGTAAAGACAAAACTTCAAATTTTCCTCTGACATACTGAATAAAATTACTGTATAAAAATAAAAATTTACAATTAAATACTAAAATTTTTNAATATATACAAGAAAAATTTTATAATGCACGATTATGGAAGTCGTAAATACTTTTGATTCTTGATTAAAAGCAGTTATAAAATCTATATCTGTGCATTATAGAGTTTTACTTGTTTGTTATAATATACATTTATAGAATTTCCAATTACTTTTAATAAAAAATCAAAAAGATACTTATGAATTTCATAAATGTTTACAGGGTGGTCCAAAATATGGCAATAATCTTTGGGTGGCAATTACTGCTGAGACAGGAAACAATGCTCTTATTAACATATGTCTTGAAATGTAAAGTTAATGCACAACAGGGCAGCATTCACACAGTTGTTCTAGAACATTGTACCCATAATGCTGTTCAGATAGAAGCTGGAGTATTTGAAAGGGTGTGTCAGTCTGTGATTCATACTTGCAGAGACTCTTGAGGATGCTTCGATCATCTGCCATGACTAGCCAGACAGGTGTGTCATAGTGTTCTGTACTTTTATGTTAATAAATCCTTTGTGTGTTAACTATGCATGTCCAGACAGATTTATAAGAGCATTTTTGTTTCTTGTCTTGGCAGGAATCACCACCCAAAGTTTGTCTCCATATTTTGGAACCATCCTGTATAACATTTTTCTCATTTTCTACATTCACATCAATCACATTGAAGATTAACATAAAATATATTTTTGATTTTCAAAATGGATTAATTTTATATTAAAATTTATAAACTTGAGTGTTAAGTTATATTAATACAACAAAATTATTATATTATTAAGATCTTAACAATGTATAATGTTCTTATCAAATGTCATATCAAATTATATTTAAATTTTAAAGTGATGGCAAATTCAAATGAGAATCTTGATTATAGTACTTATAATAAAGGAAAATCTCTATTCTGACCTCTTTCGGAAGACCGGTTAAATTTGTTCGAAACATTCTGAATGTGTATTTTCTTACTGTTGTATTTATAAGAATGTGTTCAATAATGTTAACAGTTTAAAATGTAATACAATATACATGGTCATCCAAAAAGAATGCTGCTATTTTAAATTATTGTAATTATGTTAATTATTATCCAAGAATGTCATAATGTACATTAAAACATTGGAAATATGTCCAAGTTTCACATTTGCCCATTACAATTTCTCACTGCATGTACCTACATCACATGGCACACATTTAATAGATACACAAATTCTTCCTATGCTCACTACAGCTTATCTCAGGCACGGCCAACATATGGCCTGTCTAATGAATTTATGCGGCCCGCAATTAATCTTTCAATATTAGCTACTGAAGTCTGAATAGCTTGATGAAAAATTCAAGCATGATAATGTGAAAAATGTATCTGTAATCTCTATGTACAATTTAGTTTCTACAGGGTGACACCACAATCTCGCACCACCTCAAAATCTTCCTAGGACAGCCTCTGATTCGGTCCATGAAAAAGTTTTCTTTCCAATTCAGCCCGGGGGCAAAAACTGTCGGCCATCCCTAGCTTATCTGTACTTCCCACATTGGCCACAATTCTATGGCTCTTGTATTTCACGATGACAAGTGATTCCAACTTTGCAAACTGCAGAACACAAAACTCCTCCTCTGTTTTGAATTTGCCATTTTAGTTTACAGTACTTCCAAGTGGTAGTAGACAGTGAGATATTAGAAGGGAGACAAAATTCAAACGGTTACTCTACCGATAGGTATATGTCACATACTTCTCAGATAATAATTAATATAATTACAGTAATTTAAAATGGTAACACTCATTTTGGAAGACCCTGTATTTATTATTAACATTCATCTCTGTTTTGTTTATTCAGGCTTGTAATGCTTTCATTCTTTCTATTTGTTAAGAATGTTTTTAGATGTTGTTATTCAAACTCCTATTAACAAGTAAAAAAACATTTATTAAAGTTTTTTTAATCACAATAAAATTTTGTCTATTTAAATTTTCATAAATATTTAACCTACTGTATTCGCCAATTGAAATTTTCAAAATTATGTATAAATACAGAACACTTGAAAAATTTTTCATGTGACCTTAATATTTATTTTTATAATTTGATTATGGAATGAGAAAATGTTAAGTTACAGCAAGAGCTGCAGCAGTTAACTCCTCAGAACATAATTTATTTTTTAGTCAGTTTCAAATATATTATAAAATAATATTTTAAGATGCATAAATGCATTTTTGATCGATATTATCACTCCATACATAACATTAACATGTTACACTGCAAAGTCATATTACCAAGTTAATCGGTAATGAAATGACTTAGAAAAAGAAAGATGCAAGAATAGTAATTATGAGAAAACATTTATTTAAAAATGACAATAACTTCTGATACTTTTGGTGGAGGTATCGGAAGAAATACTATATCTAAATCATAAATATAAAAGTCTAATATCTAAATAATAATAAAGCAAAAATAAAAGATTGTGTGATTTTATTAAAATTCCAAGGAACAATAATAAAGAATTGCAGCAGGGTAGAACGGATGCAACATTGATCCTAGTTAAAGATAATAACAATGATAACAATTATTATATTTGTGGCACATCAAGAAATGGAACAAGTAACAAATGGAAATTCACAAGAAAAATGCTACAAATGACTGTCATCCACTGGAAATATTGCACAGCATAGAGACTCATTTTTCTTTGTTTTGAAGTAAAATATAAAAAATCATATCTACCATTATCCAATTTCTTGTAAAATATTTTTTATTATTGCAAGTTTTTTCGTGTATATGTTGTAAAAAATATCTACATATATTAACACTGAAAATTTCTGTTGTAAGATTATTTAAGACAAGAAAATTACATATCTTAAAATACATTCACTTCAAATTTAATACTAAATGAATCACACTTCACATTGAATCATGTTCACGATTTGATCTTATTGTTTTAGTATAAGAACTGATAATAAAAATCTGGAATTCTGAAAAATATTTTTTAATAAAAAATAATTTTATGTTTTGGGTAATATCATTATATTGGCAACAATTCCATTATAATATTTTCTTTTTTACTATTTTTTTTTTTTCCTGAAACAAAACAATTCAATATCCATCTTGGGTTCAGTGAAGCCAAGCAGGACAACTGTATGGCGAGGGACGGGACTAATATATCTGGGTCGAACTGGTCGTGACTCTTAAACTCAAGTCCTTTGAATTGTCAGGCAGACATCTTTATGATTTGACTGTCTGTATGAGCCACTATATTATGCAACATTTCCATGGAAGTGATGCAACTTCACAACGATAAACAAATTTTAAAATCAGTTTTGGAATTCCACAGTACACTCTCAACTTTAAATATCTAGAAGTCAGATATTGGTATGAGATCAGATAATGAAGGAGATGACCAACGTTGTTGACTAGAGCAAAAGAATTGGACGTGGTCAAATATATTGTTCCATTTCTATTAGGAATGACTTGTATTCAAAACAACTATGTGTAGGATTGATATTATTATATATATGCAAACAGCATCATAACCGCTTGACAGTTATTCAACATGCTGATTAAATATATCAACTTTCTCTCTTTTGTTATATCTATTAAATCCTCGAGAACTCTTATTATTTCTCTGCATATCACTATGTCAACTATGACTGCATTATAATTTTAAATTCATCTTATAATAATTGAATTTTGCAAATATCAATAATATACTTTTCCAAATAAATATGTTTTTCTTTTAACAATTAATATTTTTTAAAAGGTAAAATTTTTATAAGTTACACAATTTTTCCCAACATTTTATAACTGGTAAGCTTTTTTGAGTTACCAGAGAGCATAATGTTACCTAACAGTGCAAATTACGAATTCTCAAAGTTTATAATTTATTAATTGGGAAACACAGAATTAACATTATATTAAATATAAAAATAAAACTCGAAATACGATAATTACTTTAAATTATGTGTTTCGTTATATATCAATCTGATTTATAAATACAATAATTCACGACACGAGTACGGGATTATTATTGAAAGAATATAGACGATGACATTTAAATAATATTCCGTAATTCTTCTCATCTTCTGTCTCTACATTCTGTCTGCCTTTTGTCTCACAATCTATTAAAATTTCAAAAATATATATTAAAATAAACATGCTTATAAAATTGTTAGATACATTTATAATGAATTATTTATATGATGAAAATAATTGATAAAATTACAACTCTGCTCAGAGAGAACTTGCATTTTTAATAACAAAGCAACATTATAAATACGAATATGCTATATAAATAAGATCGGAGAATTAATTTCACTCCTATATTTTCTATGTAAAGTTTTTCAAGATTACTTTTTATGCTTATTAAAATTGCAGATGTCAAAATCAACCTTCAATGTTAATATAGAATTTTTTTTTGTTAATTAGGTTTTAATTTATTCTTGCATGTTCCAAAATTTAAACAACATATTTAGACAGTTACTAACACAGGACACAGTAGAATAATAAGAAATAATATTTTGTTATAAAAAAAAATTCCATTATAAACAAAAATTTTATAAAATTATTAAACTGAGAAGAATTAAAAATTTTATGCAAGTGCAAACTTAGTTTTAAACTTAGATGATATAAAAAATTCTAACTTTACCAGAAGTTCTTACATTGAAATTAAAAGTCTAACATAAATTCTTGATAAATTAAAATGCCTTACCTTTCTGTCCGTCAGATCAAGATCTGAGGAACGAGAAAACGAACCTGGATATTCTCGAGATACAACGAACAAGAACTCAGCGTGGTTTTCATTACCGTAGTTGTAAGACGAGCCAATACTAATTAACTAAAAGAAAAACAAACAATTTTTGTTAGTGCGCGTATTCAGTAATAATGAAATAAATACAGAAAAAATGTATATGTATACAGCTAAAATCTTAATAAAATAATTTAAATTAATCAGAATGTTTTCATTTTCTCCTGAAGATGGCTCCACACATTCCTTATTCACCAACTGCCAAATAATTGACTATTTGTCATGTTTGATTTAGCACAATATACTGATAAGGAGTGGGAAATGGAAAATACCGAATATTAGTCAGGAGTAAATCGTCCACACTACTTGGTATGAAGTACCAAATATGGAGCTACTTTAATACATCTATATACCGTATTTACTCACTTATAAGATGAGGTGTTCATTCATTTTTTACTACTTCAAAAACCTAGGTTGTCTTATATCTGCCAGCAAAGGATTCTTTGTTTTTGCAATAATTTCTGTGAACAATGTATAGTTCATGCTGCCATTATAGGTCTACAGTCTATTTATCGTAAGTTGGCACCTAGTGTAAACAAACTAAGATACACCATCCTTTGTTTATTAGTTTAAACTTACTTCCATCAATTAAAAACTGTGTTGCCTCTCATTTGTCCACAGAAAATAGTTCCTTGTTACTTATAAAATCATTAATGAAATACAGGTCACTTAGCAATGATTATAAATGTAGTTATTTCATATTAGTTAAATTGTTATTTTTAAGGAATATTAACATATTCTGAATTATTAAAAATAAAATTTTTCTGGCCATGCACATTATAGTGTTTTGGTTTTGTTTTCCATTTGTCATGTATTACGTGCATTTGATAATATTTTATTTGTGATTAAACAAAATAATTACATTTATTAATACAATTCTAATTTTTCTTTATTTTGATCTTTAAAGTCACACCTTGTCCTATATGTGAGATCATCTTATGTGTGAGCAAATACGGTATATTTACTTAACAATGGGCTTATAATTATCACCAATTGGACTTTGTGAATGAAAAAGGATGGCAGATAAGTCCATTGCCAACACAAATGCTAGTGCCTTGGATTGCCTAGTCAGCATTTTAATTTTAATTTTTCTTACTTTTAAATTAAACAAATATTAAAAACTAGCTTACCCGTCGCGCATTGCTGCGATCTCAGAAGAAAGGAAATTCAAGCAAACTCGTTATGATAAAATTCAATTTACATTTTATCATTTTTATTGAAACTTATTATTATTATTCATTTTCATCGGGAAAACATTTCAAAGTGTCGTTTCAATTCTATTTATTTATTGGAGTGTTTGTGGATACACGATATTTTTTGTTTTTCCGTCTGGTGCGTACACGAATAAATCGGAAGGTTTTTCGACGCGTGAGCCGGCCACATACAGTTGTCCATGCGAGAAGCACGGATTCTCCAAATTTAGCCCACACACTCGCAGCGATTGTCAGAAGTGCGATATTCCCCATTTTTATATATATATTTTTAATCCTTTATAATTTTAATTATTTAATTGCTCCTTCCTTTCTTCCTTGGCACGTTGTGAAATTTCTGAGAGTTGGATAATAAACTGTTTTATCGTAATTTGTCTTTTTAAATTATTTTGAGTCGATATTAAAATTTGGAAAAGGGGATCCTTAGATCGGTAAAATAGGCGAATTTCCTCCTACAACTTCGGTTGTTGTTCGTGATACAGTTAAGATTTTAACAAAGTTCGAGTGAATACGTAATTAGCAAAAAAAATTGAAATAAAGTGATTAAACAAAAATTATTACAAATATCGTAAATAACAGTTCACAAATGCATATATAGAGATATTTTTGAAGGAGAGGAAATGGTCTTCGCAATTTGAAATCGATCGAACACACTGTGCGCGAATGCTCGTGTAAACGCGCGCCATCTATCGTAGGGTAAATGCCAGAAAACTTCACGGGAGTGTATTAAAAAACTTCCCAAAGCTTCATGGCAATCATACTATGCCACAAACCTTCGCCGGAGTATATTAAACAACTTTCCAAAGTTTCACGGCAATCGGATAAACGGTGTGGTAATGCATAAAGGACAGACACACACACATACATTCATTTTTATATATATAGATGATAAAAACTACTGTAAAACTAACTTAAACTATATTAAACTTACTTCCCTCTATGTTGATTTTTATAATTTGTTTTGAATTATAAAAATCAACATAGAGGGAAGTAAGTTTAATTCTAAGTGTGAGAACATTTCAACTTTCATGGTCTTGGAGCAGAATAGAAAACTGTATTACATTTATAAAGTCAAACATATGAATAGTGCCACTGACAGGAACATAAAAAATGGCTGATTCTTGGAGATTATTCTATAGGTTTTTGTTCAGAAACAAAATATGTGAAAAAATAACCTCCATTTACAAACGGTTGTTGTTGGAAGATGGCTGTTATTGGAGACTTGATGATATAACAATACAATAATATTTATATTGTATAAATATTGTAAAGCAAGGTTCCACAGCTTTATAATAAACTTATTCATCATATTTGGATTAACAAATCAAATCTGATCCATGAATGAAAAGATATCACCTGAATAGATTAAATCTTAAGTCTAACACATGTAAGGAACTACAATGTTAAATAAATTTGTTGCTAAAGACGTTACAATCCAGGACCCAGATGTGGAATTAACAGCTTTGACAGAAGAAAACACATACTTCTGTTATAACTTATTAACTAATGACAGATTAATGCTGAATAATCATCAAAGTGTGGCATGACAATATAGTAGAAAAAGAAAGACAGACAATTTAAAATCTTACAACTAAACATTAAACAGAATTTTTAAATTATTAAAATCTATTAGGATTTCTGTATATTAAATAGGACTTACTATACTGGTGTAATTGATTGGACTCAAAAAGATAACAGTAGTCAAAATTAAAACAGAATTTCTTTATTTTCATCTGTTTTACCTGAAAATACTACCAGTAAAGAAACCCAATAAGTCTTATTTAATATATGGAAATCCTAGCAGCCAATAATAATTTAAAATAGTATTAAGGACTAGAGGTAAAGGTATAATTGGTTAACATTGTTTAAAAAATTATTTGGATGAATTATTGTTTGAAGCTTAGTTATAAATCCTCTTGAAGGATACAGATTACGATATCTGATCTTCAGTACCATTTTATTTGTAGAAATATTTGTAGATCAAGAAGAAAAGTATCAAAACTAAACAAAAGTTTAAAGTTCTTTAGTGAGAAAATAATATACAGGGTGTGGCATAAAGAGTAGATAATCCATTACCTGCAGATAGGGGACATCATGACTGTTCAGAAAATTAAACATTGTGTTTAGTAAAAGTGTCATAGTTTAAGTTATTGGACATTTTCTATTTTTTTGGAAAAATGACTCCCTCGTTCACATTTTTCAATATCATGGTCACAAATCAAGGATTTTTCTCAGTCTGTTTTTGAATACTAGCTGTGAATACATGTTCTATCAAATGTAAACTGCCATTTTAGTTTACTACCATTTGTTTTTTTTTTTTTCAAATGTAAACAGCCATTTGGTTTTTTTAGAACAAAAAATAATTCAAAATTTTTGTTTCATTTTTTTAAAAGTTTTGTTTTGTTTTTTTTTTCAGTTTATTATTAGTTAGTTTGTCATACAGGTTACAGTACTTTTTTTTACACTGAAAAAAAAAAAACGAAAGAAAAATTTTGAATTATTTTTGTTCTAAAAAAATCAATTTGATGACAATAAAATGGCAGTTTACATTTAATAGAACATATATCCAAGACTAGTATTCAAAAGCAGACTGGGAAAAATCCATGATTTCTGACCATGACATTGAAAAATACGAACGATAGAGTCCATATTCCAAAAAACTAGAAAATGTCCAATAACTCGAAAACTATGACACTTTTACTAAACACAATGTTTAATTTTCTGAACAGTCATGATGTCCCCTATCTGCAGGTAACAGATTATCCACTCTTTACACCACACCCTGTATAAAACAATTATTTAAATCACACTGTTTAACTAATGATCCACAATTAAAACATTAACTAAAATAATTAATTAAAAATGCCAGGATGTTAATTAATACATTACAAAAATTCAAGTACAAAGAAGTACCACAACAGTGTCTTTATTTGAAATGTCCTTTACACATTTTGGGAACATACAGTCCTTACAGTGGAGCCGATCTTTTATAGGTTACTTTCCCTGCATTTTAATTAATCCCCTGGCATTTCTAATTCATTATTTTAATCAATGTTTAATTGTAAATTAATTTTAAGAGAATGTATCAAGACTTGGGAATAATTTTACTACCATTTTTACATATTGAAGCAAGAAAAGTAGCCTATAAAGGAAGGCCGACTCCACTGTAAGGACTAGGTTCCTAAAGTGTGTAAAGGACATTTCAAATGAAGACAATGTTATGATACTTTTATGTATTTGAATTTTTGAAATGTAATTAATTTATGATCTTGTATATTAAACGAGATGTACAGTTAAAAATTAACAAAAATTCTTGCCAAAATAAAAATATATATATTTTATAAGTACTCAATTTTCATAAAAGACAAATATTCACTTTTATTTTAATAAAAGATTAAATTGTAATACCTGTTCAAATTTCCAACCGTCTGACATTGTTGAAACCATCTGTGTCAATTCATCCTCGTGACATTGCAGAACACGGTAGACGTGCTTGCGATACTCCTGAAATATACGTATAGAATTTTGATTAAAAAATAAAATGATATCATAATTTGTAATACTGAGATATAATTTTTAATATTAAATTTGGAGCTTAACAAATCTTATGCATTATATTTCTATAATATGTAACTAAATATCTTGCAACATGATGTTTAAGGGGAATTTGAAAATATGATTCCATATTTTATTTCTGCAGTTGCCATGGCAGCATGCACTCAACCTGCTTAAGGCAGCACAATACTGTATATTGGTTGTTGGCATCTCGAGCATTCGCTGACAACATGACAAAGCAGGGAGATGGTAAGTGTCTTAACAGAATAGGAAAAAGAGGGAGTGAGTGGCAATATTCATTTTCTGTGGACAAAGAAACCAACAACCAGGGAAATCCAAGTTTACGGCAGTGTACAGTGAGAATGGCATTACAGCAATGATGCTGCGAGTTTGCCAATGGAAAAGTAAATGTCATCAATGACTAGAGGAGTGGTTGGCACTCTACATCTGACAATATGATTTAAGACATCGATTCAGCAGTAAAGGCAGACAATGCCTGCATTTTCAAATCAGATTCCAGCTGTCAGCTTGGATACAGATATATCTGGTGCTACCCAGGCAAAAAGTAACAACAACAAACATTAAAATGAAAACCTTAAGAGATTTGATATTTTAACTATTTTACCATTGACATGTTTATCAAAAAGTATTAAATAAATTACATTAAGAAAAAAGAAAATGTAACAAAACAATAAAAATAAAAAGATTACTTTGAAAAAGAAAACAAAACAAACTGATCTTATTTAAAATCATATAACAAAAATAAAAACAAATGAATAATGAGATTTTGAGACAAATGGATCAAAGATTCACACTTTGTACCCCAGAAACCCTCAAGTACATTTTGTTCAATAATCAGAAAGTATGGAATGATACAATTTCATTGGTTGAGTAGACAAAAATCAACGTTTTTCATTAGAAAATAGCCATAGACATCTGTCTGCATGAGAAGACAATTCGAGACATCCAATTTTATTCTAATATTAACTCTTAACATACTATTTGTAGCAGAATATGAAATGAAATGGTAACTGGCCAACCAAATTTCACAAAAATGGCTCAGATATTTAAACTCGGCACCCCAAAAACATTTTGTATTAATTAATTTTTCCTACTTGAATGTGCCGATCAGATAGAAAGGGCCCACTGCAGATAGGGATTGAAGTTAATTCAATCAAATATAGTCCTTGATCTTTTCCCAGACAAGAAGATGGTACGTGAGAAGTTTCATTGCATTTTCTCAAATCATGTTGAAATGTACAAAGAACAAACTAACAAACTTTCTTCTTTGTACATTAGATACATATGTTTCTGGTTTAAAGTATACATTAATTTGAGTGATTTGAAACAATTATTTGAGACTAACTAATTTGAACTGATTGGTGATAAATTTTCAACACATTTCTAAGAAAAAATTTTAAATGAATTATTACATTTCCAATAGAATATCTCTCTTTGACTAATCAAAAGTTGTATTCATATTAAAATAGCCAATATCATCATCTTACTTCCTTTATGGAATAGGAAAGGGTGAGTGGATCCAACAGAACATTTTGGGTTAAATTTAAAATGGTAATTTATTCTTGATATAAATTTCGTTAAGATAGATTATTTGTAAAATGCGAGAACAAGTCACAAATCTTCTAATCTAAATACCAGTATTTTGCATAAAATCATACTTACTAAACATTTATTGTCCGGTACTTCTTAACTATTCATAAAAACAAACGTTTTCGGCCTCAGTCGAGGTCTGCTTCAGGTTAAAAGGACAATTGGATTCCTTTCTTAGAATCAACGTTTAGTTTTAAAATATTCAAACTCATGCACGTGTTACGTATAGTCATCTTGTTCTTCGCATACGTAGCGCCAAGCATAGAAAAGCGTGTTGCCATCTTTGGTGTTTATACATCTCCCTTCCGGCCAGCTTTCTAAATTTCCAGGGCTTCAAGGGCTCTGATGTGGTCCGTATGAAAAGCTCTATTTATTAATCTGGCATTGGATAGTTCTGTGTGAATGTCTGGGTCGGTTGCGCAGGTGGATAGGTGCGGAACTATCCAATGCCAGATTAATAAATAGAGCTTTTCATACGGACCACATCAGAGCCCTTGAAGCCCTGGAAATTTAGAAAGCTGGCCGGAAGGGAGATGTATAAACACCAAAGATGGCAACACGCTTGCCTATGCTTGGCGCTACGTATGCAAAGAACAAGAAAACGATGATGATACGTAACACGCGCATGAGTTCGAATATTTTAAAACTAAACGTTCATTCTAAGAAAGGAATCCAATTGTCCTTTTAACCTGAAGCAGATCTCAACTGAGGCCGAAAACGTTTGTTTTTACGAATAGTTAAGAAGTACCGGACAATAAGGTTTAGTAAGTATGATTTTATGCCAGAACAAGAAAACAAACTGTATTTTTGGGATTATTCTGTTTAGATTCTTGCAACAAAAAATGTCAATTAATAAAAGTCTTATCACACTTAACTAAAAGCATTAACTAAAGGCTCAGTATCAAACTACATGAAATCATAAAAAGTCACATATTGACAATATTGCATTACATTGAACATCAACAGCAAAAATGTTTGTAATATTTTAAAAACAAATCCTATAATAGCATAAATATTGTACAGTACCTTAGATGTGGTACTGTACAATGTAGTAATTTTCATAAATCAAAATTTGATTTATTTACAAATTTCAGGAGGAAGTAATTCAAATAAATGAGCAATTACTAGCGTCTGGATTTCATCATTGAATAAAATTGTATAGATTATTTTAATTTTAATGATTGCCATAAATTACTAAATATCTTAAGCTGTAAAATAAGAAATGAGATAAACGGACAGTTATATCTAATAATATACAATAAAATTGATTATCACAATGCACACCAGCAGCCTTGAAAATTGCATCATTCATAAAATCCAGTAAAAATGTGTTTGCAAAGATATGATGCAAATAAAAAAATCAATCTTCATAACTCCAGCAATGCATTTAGAGTTAACTTCATAACTGATCAAAAGCATTTTTATCTTAATAAATATATTGATTTTTTTATTTGCATCAAAAATATGTTTATTTTTTAAATTAAAGTATCATTTTGATATAGATTTGCAAGATGCTGTAAAGATCGTATCATCATGAACATGAGAATACTTTTAGCAAGTTTTTGACAGTTAACACCATGTAATTGTTGCTTTGAATTATAAGGGTTTATCCTCTCATGAAATAGTGCAGAGAGTACATTGTCATCATCAACTGTATTACAAATAAGATGTAAACATGGAAATATTGAAAGAAAAGTTGAATCAGGAGGTGGACATGTGAGTATGTTGTGCCATGACAGGACATTCTTGTATGCTGAAGTGTCTCAGCATGCAAGTATGTACTACTAGTTCTTCCAAACTGAAAGTGGAAAGAGAAAGTGAATACACAAACTGTGTGAAATTGCTTCTAAAACATGGATTTAAAAGCCTAAAAGTCTACGTAAGAATCCATTACCAACAAGTAAAATCTGCAGACAGCAGCTTATCTGGGCTAAATGGGATACAGACTGGTGTGTTGACATATAGAATTCTGTTATGTTTTTGAATAAATCCATATTTAACCTGCATGGATCTGACAGCAAATCCTTTGTTAGAAGTAAAAAAGACAAGACCTATATCAAGAATTGCTTGATGCAAATAGTAAAGATTTTGGTCATTCAAATGGTGTGAATACATATCAAATAAAGGTGTCAGCAGATTAAACTTTATAAATTGGTCTGTGAATTGCAGAATGCCACAAAAAATCTTATCTGCCAAACTAATTCCAACAATCAAAAAACAATTTTGTGACACAAAATCTGGCATTTTCCAGGACAACTCTTTATTCTAGTAAAATAATTCCTGCAATAGACCAAAACCAGATGCCTAAATGGTACAGGTAATAGTCCTGATCTCTGCACTGTTGAAAATTGCAAGCATATTTTGGGCATAAAACTGAAAAGACCTGAAAATAAACAGCAACTGCAAGAGTGTATTAGAAGAGTTTGTTATCACAAGTTTGGTATAGAATACTAAAAGAAACATCCTCCTTCACACTATGCCAGAGTGCTGCAAAGCTGTTATTAAAGCTTGAGATGACCCTTTGAAGTATTGGGATACTATTCAACAAGAAATAAATGTGTGCGCTATGTTTTTCAGGATTACTTATGCCATAAACTCTTTTTCTGCTTCCGTAGCTGTAAGCTACTTCCAACAGTGGTCTATAACAGTATTGGTAAGGCTATGGAATGAAATAACACTTGACTTCAACTAGCATTATATATAATAAATTAACAGTTTTTTGGTTTATTCTTAATGTATAGTACAGAGAAGAAATCATGATCATACAAATAAGAATCACAGCTTAAATGTGTACTTTGCACTTCTGTTTAATGCTTTTTAGTATGTCATAATGATGCAATTTCCATAGCCACTACTGTATACATTATAGTTTGAGCTATAAATAGCTTGTTAACAATGAGGGGGACCAAAATTATAATCAAAGTAATTAATAAAGGAAGAACAAGAAAATTATTTGATGATAATATATGCTTAATTTAAATAAAACAGATTTTAAATCTTAAAAGTTTTTAAATAAATTTAAATTTACTTTAATAAAAATAATCCAGCAATGAGTTACTTAACTTTACTGGCAAAAAAAAAAATTATAAAAGATGATGCTACCACAGTTTTATTTCATTTAAAAACTATTATTATTAACTCTTTTCAGGGGGAAAATTTTTGAATTAAAATAACATGACTTCCAGTGCAAACTGGAATATATAGTTAATCGGGGTCTTCTGCCCTTAAGCTTTCCATGCCTGGTCTTGATTTTCATCTATCTAACTCCGTTCTAAGGACAGACAGACAATAGTGAGAATTTATAGGTCTACAATTTTTTCAAATTGCAACCCATTATTATAAAAAAAAAAAAAAAGCTTAATTTTGAAGGTAGAGATGAGTTTTAAAAATAAAACTGTAAATGCTAATAATGAGTAAGATCATTAAGTCCAGCTTCACTTTAGATATGACACCTGACCCCCCTCTATCTCTCCACCCCAAAACTTTTAACCATCAAAATTTTAGTAGCATTAATCTCTGTAATACACAAACTTCCTTGCAAAATTCAGAAATTTTTGACAAAAGAGTTATTAAGTTACAAAGTGGATAAACAAAATTGTTCCACCTCAAACACACACATACATACATACAGAAAAAAAAATGCCTGAATTTTTTTTGCATTTCTAGACATTTCAAGGTCCCCAAGTCCAAAAATGTAAAATCTTGGGAAATCAGTTTTTAAAATCGACTTACTTAAACCAAATAACCAGATTGTTTATGTTCTATTTGCAATAAAAGAACACAAATGCTCCGGTTATTTGGTTTAAGTAAGTCGATTTTATATTCAACCTGGTGTGTTAGGAAATTAAATCAGTTTTTGACTGACTGCCATACTTTCCCTCTGCTATACATAATAGCTGAAAAAATAAAAATGAATTTTTCACAGGCCTTTCCAAAAATGGATACATTTTACGTTTAACACAGATGTGGCCAACAGTTTTTGCCCCCGGACCAAATTGGAAAGAAAACTTTTTTCACGGGCCAAACCAGAGATTTTGAGGAAGATTTTGAGGTGGTGCGAGATCTCATTGTGGTGTCATTCTTGTAGAGACTAAATTGTAGATAGAGATTACAGATACATTTTTCACATTATCATGCTTCATCAACACTCTACGCTGTACTTAAGAGATTTGTAATGGAGCGTTAATTCTAAACACACAGTGAGTTGTTGACCCTTTTCTTTTTTTGTTTTGTGTTTCTGGGTGTCAGAATTTTTCATTGAGCTATTCGGTCTTGAGTAGTTAATATTGAAAGATTAATCGCGGGCCACATAAATTCATCAAACGGGCCAGATCCTGGTATAACATCTACTAGTCAAATAAATGTCACATATTGCTGTCTAAGTTTTAAAAATCTCAAACTTGCAATAATTTATAGATTAATTATCAAAGCAACTTGAAACATGCTCAAAGTATGGATTAAAAAAGGGGGTTTGGTAATAGGATGGGCATCCAATTATTACACAAAGCCAAATTAGAGAATGACAAATAACCGTAAGGAAAATGGTACTAATAATGACAAACTGAAAGGAATTTCATACCTTACAATTTCACTATCACCAAAACTTTTTTAATATCTTTATTATAATTTCAAACATCTCTATAAGAATCATTTATATATTCTAAAGAGCTATCAAAAGGTTAAATGACTCCAAAAATCCAATAAATTTTAAGTATTGAGAAAGAAAATAGTTTTTAAAACACTAATTTTTATAAAAATGACTTCTCAAAGGCATTTAAAAAAAGCAGAACATGCAACATCAAGTAATATTGAAGTTACAATAAAAATGAATTCAAGATAAAATATAAAAGAACCATATTTATTTCTACTTTTATAGAATTTCTGTAAAAAAAAACATGATTACTTGAAGCAGAACCCAACTCTATACTATTCTATGTTATTTAGATTATAAATATAGACTTGCTTACTTTGGTCATGATGGCATTCCTTTCTTGAATTCGTTCTTTTACCAATTTAATTAAATCCACAATATTATAGAATTTTGCTTCTTCTAAAACACCTAAAAAAATAATCAAGTGAATCAAAGTAGTTTCTTAATTATCATAATAATATTACATAATTATTATAGATTTATAAATGCATATATATTCAAAATAACCTGTATACAATATGTAGATTATGCACACAGGGTGCCCGAAAAGTTACTGTGCAATGTAAAAAGTTTAAGTTTTGATAAAAGTATGTTTTTACATACGATATTACAGTTTTTCCTATGGTAAACGTCAGAAATGTTTCCCAAAATCAGAGGGGAGTAAGGTCCGGAGATCTTGTGAGCAGGATTCCAAGGGAGATTGTGCAATTGGCAAAGAAGTATTCCAAAAACTGTAGTCTAAAAACAAGAACATCTGTATGCAAGTGTATGCAATATGAAGTTTGTTGCTGCTTGTTTGAAATAAGTTTATGGATTCTTGGCTCTTTTCCACAAAGGGCAACAATTGCACTCATAGCATTATTTATTGACATTATTATTTATTTATAACAGTCATTTCATGTTTGGATTTTTTTAATATTTAAATCTAAAACTAATGAGTAAGAAAAGCAACCAAGCATTTTGCATTTCTTTTATAATACTTCATATAACTTTGAGTTCATTGATGTACAAATTTCTCCATGGACCACCAAAATTTTCTCATGAATCATCATTGGTCCATGGGCACTGGTTGGCAACCACTGGGCTAGTGATAGCAGTCATATAAGCTTCAAAAGAAGATAAAACAAAGAAAAAACATAAAAATGTTCAAAATCTACACCATCTACTGCAAAGCAGCTATGCAAGATATACAATTTATGGGTCTTCTATGAAATACCCTATACAAATTCAGTATTGTTACAAATTTCTCACTGCACAGTAACTTTTCGGACAAACTGCATGTCTTGTAAAGTACTACTTATATAAAATGCTGTGAAATTTAGTACATCGTCTTATCATAATCTAAATGCTCAATTCTGAGAATCATTTTTGGCTTACAAATAACAATAATTTCAATTATTTGTAAGCATTTTGAGTTGAAGATGATCATGTTACAACTAAAAATGTTTCTTAAAAACAATCTTTAGTCTTTCATTGAAATCTACAATATACTGATAAAATTTTGAATTCAAAGTAAAAAATACATAATAATATTTAATATTAAAATATAGCACTTGTATAAAAAATTTTTTATTACAGTTCTTTTTTTTATTTTTTTCATAGAGTTACTTCATTTTACACTAGTGGTGATAACAATACAGCTCAAGAGGTGAACAGAATCATTATTACATAAAACTTCATAATTTCTGGAATTGATATGCTCTAAAGTTGATATTGGTTAATCAATTTTTCAGAAAATTAACACTCTACTATATAGTCATATTTTGTTTTAGTAAGATTGTATAAAGGATATAAGTTTAAAGTGAAATTTTATCAAAAACACAAAAGAAACATTAAATAGTTTTTAATTTATAAAAAATTTTCTATGAAATCTAAATGATGTTTTATTTCATGATTACATATGATTTATCAGAAATATATATATTCTACTGTCATCAGGATAATTAGATTAGACTTAACATACAGTGGGTGATCGGATAACGAACACTTTCGCGAAAGATTTTTATGTTCAGACAACGAACACATGATTGGATAACGAACACCTCACAGAACAAACACAAGAAGCAGCGATGTAAAATAATGAATACCGATTGGTCTTCCCATGTCTTC